ATTAATATGCAATAATTCTGTATATCAATACAAAGTATAATAAAATATTTAAAAAATATGTTTTTTTTATGTAAATGTATCTTTGACATTGATTGCCATGTGTATTCAATTGAATATACAGTTATGTGACATCGCGTATCAGTTTGAATATTATTCATCATTTTCTATGTATTACTTTTATTTATATGTGAAGAACATTTTACATTGATTTTATATATCTAATATATTATAAATTCTGAAGAGTCTATTGACTTTCATTAGTAATCGAAGGATTTTTTATTTAAAAAATCATTTTATTGACTAAATTCGACTGTGAAAAAATTACTTAAAATTACATTATAAAAAAATTATTTAAAATTATATTATAAAAAACTTATAGCAACGATAAATGTATGTATTTACATACTTTACATTTATACACGTAGTGCATAAATAATATTTATTATATCCTCATATCATCCGCGTGTCTTTTACGCACACATAAACATCATCACACAAATATTTTGAAAAACATTAAATTGTTGATGTATCAATTTACTTGATTTATAAAAGTTAGATATAAAAAAATAATAGTATGATGTGTCAAAAGATCAATTGTAAAAATCCGTAGAGCAGTCAAAGTGTGAAAAAATTATATTATTCCTGATTTTTGTATGCAGACTACATGCTAATGTGTCGAGCACATTTCATAAAAAATATCTATATATATTCACACGACAGTCTATTATTCCTATTACCCCTGTCTATTATTCCTGTTCTCGGAGAAGAACAATCGTTATCTTCGACATTGACATGATAAAATTCAAATGACGACGCGATGAATTCGCCGTGACGCGAATATATATTCCACGGATGTTCCTTTCGACGAAATAAGAAGAATTGACTCCGGCGCGTCGCCTGATCGACGAGTATTTTAATATTTCAACGGCCGCGTTGACAGGGCGCTAGGTGAAAGCCATTTCGCTTGCGACGCTAACAGAAACGCTGTGCCATCCAGCTGAAAATTTATGCGAACTGCCTCCATCCGGGGCGAGACGATGTAGAAAACCGATAGTGTAGCGCATGTCTCTGAAATTCCATTGAGAAAAAGCGAGACTAAGGGGTGACGGCAATGGAACGGGAATACTCTCAAACACCTGAGAAACTCTATATGCCCTCTATGAAATCCTAATCGTAAAGCCATGTGAACTATTGATTGATTTTCTGTGGAAATTTGTGACAATTAAATTTGACTCTACATTCAAACTTTCCCTCTCCTCTTTGATATCGGGATACAAGCTTCTATTTGCAGACCGTAACGTTGACAAAGTTACCTACAGCTATAACGCAAGTTTCACGAGTATCTCGACGTAAAAGCATTTCATCGATCGAACGATTCTTACATTTGCGTAAAGATATCCCCCCGAAGATATGCGGCTTTCGCGCCTAAAAATGGAAGTATTCATTTCACGATTTGTTTTACACCATCTCTCCTGGCCGAGGAAATTTTTATCGTAGCTCATGGCAGCAAGTCGTCTCTTTTCCTCGTGGGTGGAAGCAATTTGCGGAATGCTTTTCTCGCCTCAGACACGGGCTGAGCGAAATTGAGCCAATTACTCAGAGTTTTTCAACGATTACTATAACAATCGTAGGATGTGAAATTGAGAGAGAATGTGCGTGTATTTAGCTGCATTTAGGAGTTTAATTCGATAAATTCTCGCGCACTTTAATCTCACTGTACTCGGCAATATCAGTGAAACTGAACATGTATTGAACTGTGATCTAAATCTTTTCATTATTAGAACCGATAGTGCGATTTTAGCTCCGCTCATCGAATTTTTATTTTTTGTATTAATTATATAGTACATAATACTGAAAATAATATTGTGATTATAATAACAAATAATTTTAACGATACAAATCATATAAAAATAATTTTTCATTAAACAAGGATAAGAAATGATTAAATTAAAACTTTCGATGGTTCTGGTGTTATAATTTAAAAACTGATGAAAGATCGATTCAGCTGTGGATTGGAACAAAGTCTTGATTGGTGGTTTTTCATCGTGTCGAACAACGGCGTGACTATACTTTTAACTTTATTTCTTCCAGTCTTTATTACTTTTAGTCTCATTCGTCCAGTATGTAGTATCTATACGAAAAGAGAGAGAGACTTCATTCTTTGGGCTTTTTGTGCTTCTTGTG